GTAGCATAAAAAAAAAATCGCTGTCCGTAAGTAAGTAAGTAAGCAAGTAAGCAAGTAAGCAAGTAAGCAAGTAAGTAAGTAAGCAAGTAAGTAGGTAAGTAAGCATGTCTGTAGGCAGGTATGTATGTGTGTATGTGTGCATGCATGCATGCATGCGTGCATGTATAAGTACATCCATCCATCCATCCATACATACATACATACATACGCACGTATATACATACACATATATATATACACATATGTGCATGCACGCATGCACGCATGCATGCATGTATTTCTCTATACGTACATGCATTTTTTGCACTCGCACATACACGTACACACACGTACGCACACATACATACATACATACATACATACAGACAAACAGACAGACAGACAGTATGTATGTATACATACATACATACATACACTGTTTAGCACTCGCTATGTATGGATACATACATACATACATACACTACATACACTACATACATACGTACATACATACATACATACATACATACTTGCATGCATACATACATACATACTACACACATACACTGAATACCAATACACAGATACCATATAGCGGGAAAGATGGATAGCTTAGATAAATAGATAGACCGCTGGATAGACAAGCGGATAGACCGGCAGATAGGACAGATTGCTGTAGCTCCAATATAACAAGCCTCAATAACAGCCCCAAGTCCCCAAGCATCAGAAGGCAGATGAAACCTGGCCTTCAATGGCAGCTTCGTGGCGAGCTCCGCCTGCAAATATATATACATCTATGGGCAGTTTTCGAAATTAGGGTCACTTGTGGGGGTCTTGTTTTATTAAGGGTCCCAAAAAAAGGGACCATAACTTAGAGAACTACCCATATGCAGAGACATGTGCGAAAGTGTATACATGTACAAACACGTATATTGTATCAGCATTCTCGCAACTATGGAAAGGCAAACAAAATATGTTGATTATAGGCAAAAACCAACCCTCATAAAATGTCGACCCGCCTGCCCGGCACAGAGACGATTCAAAAATCGCAGGCTTTCACTGATGCACGCTGCATTTGCCTTGCACCTTCCGCACATACTGCTAGGCAGATGAACACAAGCAGCACATTGGCGATCATGCAGGAAGCCTAAGGCCTAAGACTTGGTGAGACGGTATTACCCGGTGAAGCGTCGTCGTCCTGGTGAAACTGCAGGAAGGCATAACGGCCTTTATCGCAAACTTGTGACTCGTCACCACCAGTAGGTGCTACAGCTTTACCGTAGTTTAGAAACGCGTGGACGGAGTGCGGCGCTTGGCAGGCGAAAGCCTCAACAAAAACCTTTCACTGCCAGGTGGGCTGCCGGAAGATTGTGCCAGGGCCGCCGTGCCTGGAAACCAGACACATTATATAATGCATAGTAATGCATAGTATATATTCGTAGCAGTTTCCTGTACTTGTTGTCTTTTTTTGCCTCCCGCCTGGCTAGGACGAACCGTTGTCTTAGACCACTTTATCTTCTGCAGAATCCGCCCGGCAAGGTGGGCTTCCAAAGCGCTCCACCCCCGGATCCAAAACATTCTGCAGACACCAGCATTGCATGCTTCCGAATGCCTGCCGAAAGTAGCAAGAGTCGATGAATCCTACCCTCACAGTTCCTTTCAAAGCTCTTTCCCTCCGGACATGCACTGAGGTTGACTAAACATAACAGGGCATGACAGGTTTCGCGCGGGTCGAGAGCGGTCGGTGGTTGCCACATAGTAAGAAAAAGACAGAAGATACCAGAGGTCCTCAAATGGCACCCCTTGCTGGACACTTCTGTGTGAGGATGGCCGCGCAAGCAACAAGACTAGCGACTAAGGACAGCCGTGACACTGGAGAAGCCACTTTATGGAAACCGTGTCCGTGAGGATGCAACTGCTGCCGTCTCCTCGCCTCGTCCCCGGCTGCAGCCTTATGCACCGCCTTGCCAGCATCGTTCCGGTGTCCGTGAGTTCCGCACTAGACACTGTACATGGCCTAAGCAGGACGGACAGCCCATCACAGCGATATTCAGATATCTATGATTGTCTGTGGCCGTCCCTCGTTCTCAAGATGGATCGCAAGGGACAACACAACACTGAACTTGCACCCCGCCCAAGACACAAGGGCTGGAGTCAGCACGAAGAGAACAACCAATGCGAAAAGCATGCGTATCATGTTTATGCAGCCTTCGCCGGTGCCAGTAGCAGCGCCCTCTTCGTCCTGGAGCATCGGCATGATCAGAGATCATGCAAACTGCGAAGTGCATGATGCCGTGGCCTGCTGCCAAGGCTTGCCGGTGCCTGGCCCAAGGTATCACAAGGTCAATGATGCCAGGCAATCAGATCGATAGCGGCTAGGCTGCCCAAGCATCCGGCACTTCCCTTGCAGGCAGCCATCGAACCACCTAGGAAGACCTTCCAGAAAACCAATATGGAATTCCATCAGGAAGGGCCCGAAAACTGCGGGAAAGAATTGGCACCAGAGAGAACGCTCCAGTGCTATTCAGGCAATTCAATAGCAGGTGTCAGTTTGGAGCAAAGCTCAGGCTGCTTCGTCAACCAGGACAGGCGTGCAGTTTTGGACCACCACGAAGATGTACTCGGTCTGGGTGACGCAGATGAGTTCCGTGCCCTCCTTTGTTCGGATCCGCACCTGAAAGGAGAGGCCAAACACACGTAATCTCCATCATGACAACGAGAACATGATCTGTACCTGTAGTCGCTCAGTAAAGACTGCGACCTTTCATCATACTCAAGACCAGGACTTGAACTTTGCTGATTTACCGAAAAGCTCAAAGCGCTACGAACGGAATAGAGATGTCATCAACTGTCCAGGTCATAAGATCTCTGAAGCACCAAGCGAAAGCCTCTGAAGAAGGCGCTACTGACACTACTGACACTACGGACAAAATGGTGCCAAAGGAAAGGCACGTTGGCAAGCTCAGATTCGGCGGGACCGCTGAGGAGCTCCCGTAGGCTCTTCTTGCAGTGTGCAACGAAGTCCTTGGAGAAAGAGGGGCTGCCATAGGGCACATACATGGAGAAGGTGAGAGGGGGCAACTGCACACCACGACAAGTCGTGATCTGACGGCCCGGCAGACATAAGCGCAGCGTAGACCACGGCCCTGGCAAGCGAACGCTGTTCTCCTTCTTTGAGCGCATGCCAGCTGTCAGTCGTGGTTAGCACGGGCCTTTCGTATGGCATGCTCTCGTGCCACTTCGTCGGGATGCCATCGGAATTGATCACGACGAAACCTGAGAACTGAACACCACAGGTTGGACTCTGGACTAAGGCAGAACAGCCGCCGACGATATGCATGTGTCGGGGCATGAGTTTACGTGTACGTGTGTGTGTGTGTATATATATACACACATATAGAGAGAGAGAGAGAGAGAGAGAGAGAGAGAGAGAGATAGATACAAGAACTACGAACACAGATTTTTAGGAGATACGCAACTCCGACCTTTTGCCTAAGACCACACACACCAAAAAAGACAGAAAACATTTGCAGCTGACTGTCTCATCACATCCGGGCAGAAAGTTACATGAAGTGCCGAGGACGCAACCCTGCCGATTCACGAACCGATGCATTGCCGGGAGGTGCAACAAACTTCAACTAGTTCTTGCGAATGCAAACATAACTCATGCAAACGTTTCTCCAGAGCACGAAACACCAGAGAAGAGCAGCCATGCTGATTTCAACGACAGCCTCTGTTGTCCCGATCCTCCAAGCAGACCCACTACCCAGACCAAACCAGCGCCTGAAACCCAAACTCCAGGCCCTGCTGTCGGTATTACGATCTATCCAGCATCTGGGCAGGACTCCGTAGCCTCCCAGACTTCGAAGCCCTGGCCCCCGGCCCTGACCCCCACGGCAGAATCTCCATCATGACTCAGAGTCCGAAGAGCCGATCACGCTGGGAAAGTCATTCAGAAACTGCTTCAAGACTGCATCCACCTGCCGGGGACTCGGGTCCAGGGTTCGCGGTCATAGAACTGTAGGATGAAGCTGAACACTGCACTCCCTACATCCTCAAACCCGCCCGGGTGCATCGAGTTAGCACCACAGCTTCGTCGGGCAGGTAGCAAAACCAGGTTCGTGGCGACAGGTTACACCAGACAACAACAGTACGCATAAACAAAAAAAACAATGTCCATCTCACGTTTTCCACCCCGGCTTGACTCCGAACAACCGGTACAACCGGTGCGACCCGGCCCCTCCCGACAACAATTCCGTCAACCGGTTTAGCACGTGTCTCGACATCTTCTTCAACCCGACATATCTATCGCCCCATACAAACTTGCGCAAGCTGCACCGGATGTTGCCAAGATTTAGACATTCTGGGCTTGAGGTCCCGCGACTGCTCGAGGGTCTTCGCGGGGAATCTTGGATTCTCCCGATAGCTTCTACCGGTTGTACCGGGTTAGGTCGTGAATCCAAGACTCGCCGGAAGACCCTCCAGCCTACCGGGGCCTCGTAACACCAAACCTCCGACAAGCCTGCGTCTTAAAGCCACGCTGGTGTTATGCACACGGACTGCAGCCATTTTTTCAAAAGAACAGGGACCTGCTAGGATCAGACCTCCGGAACATAGGAGCAAGACAACTATTTGTTTCATTGGGTTGCAGTCATACGTCCCAGATTACACGAAAACCTTGGCACATCCAACAGAAGTCGTTCGTAAATAGTTTTTCGGTAGGATTTCCGGAGTTTTCGATAGGGTTTCCGGTTTTTTTCGGTAGGGGTTCCAGAGTTTTCGGTAGGGGTTCATACTACCACAGCATGCCTACGCTTATAAGAGTCTATTTCTTTTATAGAAGTCTCAGTATCTGTCTTTCTTTCGGTTTACGTCCTCAAAACGGGCTTGAAGGCTTTGTTGTTCAGGATCCGTGGGCTTGCATGTGGAACACGTCGGGAACGAATCGGGGTGAGATTCTTCCAGTAGCTACACCCCAAGCTTCTTTCCACATATACACAACCCCGAAAGCGCAGTAAACGTTGCCCTACAGTCCTTTGCATCGGGGCTCTGTGGCTTTGAAGGATTGCAGGGCTTCCCATCATCCCCAAAACCATCGAAACTTCGGTCAAAAACGTCCCCGAATCAACTCGAAACCTGCAAGACCTTGGAAACCCCGAGCCCCTAAAGCCAAAACCCTCCGCCCCCAACTCTAAACTCCTGGACCTTCAACCCTGCATGAACGACGAGTAGCACTTTGTGTCGCCTTAAGGTCCCTGTAGGAAGAACTACCCAACGCCTCGGAGGTCTGCGCACCTGCCATCCTCTGCTCTCTACCGGATTTGAGCCGCAAAGCTGCGAGGTGATCATCCAAGCCAGGGTTTAAAGACATGAATTCACGTTAGGCAAGCATTCGTCAAAACTGCTATTTCGACTCTTATGATCGATACCATTACTATTGGTTGTTGTTATGAAGGCTCAAGAGCCTTTCTTGGAGCTGTAGCTCTGGCTGCCTCTCAGTGAGGCAGTGTAGAAATTGTTAGAACTTTCTGTGAAACATTCTGCCCTGAATTCCCATCAGTAATAGTCGAAACAATCGTAATGATATAAATTGTAATGGTTGTAGCATTGTGGTAATAGTAACTAAACATACAACAAGTAATATGTACGAATGATAATAATTATACTAATAGCAATACCAATAATAATAACAACAATAATAACCGCCGACCTATCTACCAGCGATGTCCACAAGAACAGACCTGCCTTCATCTCGGCATTCTTCTGTAAGAAATCTGCGCATACGCTAACATCCCCCATCTGTCCGTCGCCCTATCTTCAAGCAGCTGGGCAAACGTTACACTCTGCTTCAGGAGTGGACATGTAAACTTTTGCGTGTGCCGACCTTGACTCAATGTATATGGTGTGTATATGGTGTCAAGAGTGTCTTGCGCAGTCCCCATGAAAGGAAGCACAGCTTCATCTCACACAACCTCGATGGAGTAGAGGGTGGCACACTAGCTCGGCAAACCCCGCCCTGCATGTCGCAATACAGTGGCATCCTGCATGCCATGCCGGAGCCTGTGAAGCTGTGCCAGCTGACCTGGAAGTCAAACGTTCCCATTCCCCCCCCCCCCCCCCCCCACCCTCGCGTCTCGATGGTTCGGGTCGGTCCGTGCAGAGTACACCAAATGCTCAAAGCCAAGGGAGCTAGGCGAAACCAACATTGGGGACCAGCATCAAGTACATAAGCAAGCACATTTTCACTTACAACTTCGATGTTTGCGCAGAAGTGCATTGCAGCTTCTCCGCTGAGAGGTCGGATGCTAAAGTACTGTCGTCATATCAGCTAGGGGGGGTGTGCCATACAGTGATGTCATATATGGTGAGTTTGGGGACGGCAGCTTTCACTGTGAAACCAAAAATCTAGACAGGAAAAACGCATGCGCATCTGATTCCAGATCCTCACAGCGCTTCCTGAAGAACCTCCATATTGCCGACATTTGTGGAGAAATCGCTGCCCGCATCAATCTCGCCAATGTCACGGTCCAGACCCATGGTTGGGTTGATAAGTAAGGCCTTCTGCTTCTCCTTGCTCACATCCTCCAAAATGTCCACGAAGTTGGTATGAAAATCCACTAAGTAAATATCGTTCACGTCTTCGCCGAAAGGGTTTTCTAGCTCTTTGGCCACCTCGTTCAGGCACCAAAGGCAAGCATAAAGGAAAAAACACAGGATGGGCCCGACCAACCCGCCGGTGAACACCACGACGTACACTGGAATGAGGACAGAGAAGGAAGCCAGCAGCAAGCCCAACAACTGGGCAAAGGGCAAAGGGAAGGGCACATCGGCGATCTTGAGACAGTTGTTATAACCGAGCATGCCATTTGAGAGCTCCTGGTACATTCGCGACTGAATGGGAGGAGCAACATCAATGTGCCTCATGGCATCAGCAAGATCCCAGATGATCCAATACATCACCGTCGCCACTGGGTCGTATGACTGCTCCAAAAGCTCAAGCTGCTCACGGGATGGTTTCTCGAAAACCACATACACACTTTCATTGGGAGCATGGCGATCGAAGTGCTTCCACTCAACCATATGTGGCAGATCGAAGAGCTTCATTTCCTTCTGGATGCGCATGGCTCCCCGTGTCTTGGCCCACTTTGACCTGATATCTTCTATCAGTTGGTTGTCCCCAGTATGCAGCCGATCCGAAGCAAGCATGCTGAGAATGGCGAAGTTAGTCTTCAGCCTTCTCTGCTTCAGTTGGAGGCCTTCGACCTTCTTGCCGTCTCCCTTGCTCACCGCGGCTAAGCGCGAGACCTCGGCGAAAGCCTGGAACTGCGTAAAAGTATCCGTCCATTTGCTGTACATGTTGTGAAGCTGGGTAACAGCCTCCCAATACCTGTTCCAAGCAAGCTGTGTCCTAAACACAATTGCGAAGGTCACACCAGCACCTAAAGCCTGGAAGCCGTAGTGGTGCAGAACCGATGGCGCCCATTCCGACTCAATGTCCCTGAGATACTGAGTCAATATACCAAGCAGTGCAATCAACAAACTCCCAATAATGGTATCGCACCGATAGAAGACACTCCCATGTAGTTGCAGAAGAAGCCAGAAGCTACTCTTGTTGTAGTAGAGCAACATGGCATCAAACACGAGATGGCACAACCATATTCATGGTGCGTTTGAAAATTCCCAGGACTCTGGTGAAACGAAGGGCCGCCCCAGCTACTCGTAGCAACTTAGACTAAAGGGAGGCTGATGCACTTACATGTGCATAGTGTGCCATACGAGCGTATACATGTACGTCCATGTGCTTCTGCAACGACCAACAACAATGGGCAGATAGATAAGCAGGCCGATAGGTAGACAGATAGAATGACGGGCCTATGTGCGAGAATGGGGTCTAGAATGCATTCATAATCGCTTACATGCTTTTGTGAACTGAAAGCTGCACCACAGACGGCCGAATGGCAGCAGCCTTCAGGCAAGGGAAGACAAGGCACTGGGAGCGGGCTTGCCAGCAACTCAGCTACTCCTGAAGCCAAAACGTTAGCAGATTGCATCGTCACACACATAACAGGAGAAGCCTGATGCACGTGGTAGACATACAAGGAGCTCGCCACTGCAGTTTCGTCTGCGTCTGCAGAGAACATTCTGATGTAGGATTCCGATATCATGATCGGAATCTTCGTAAGATGCGACACTTGGGCCCATGCGGCACAAGTGCAGCAGCTGCCAGTGCCTCTTACAGCTTGCTGATGCGCCAGACACGATGCACAGGGTGACTAACTGAATCACGCACCTGTTTGGAGGGAAGCTCCAAGCCCCGAACATTCCCTGACCCTGCAGGTACAGGGCACAGTCAGGGTGAGGGAGCAAGGCGACCGAAAAGAGTAAGCATAGAGCGCACAACCAAAAGCCCAAGTCTGCAATAGCCCACGCACGCATGCAGGCACGCCGCACATGGACTGTGACACCGTGGCGGGCCGCCACCTGCTGGCCATACATCCTCGCCGTGTTGCCGTGGTGGTCTCGTAACTCCACGATCCTGTGAAGATTCCAACACAAACATGCGAAACGTCCTCCTTGTGCCGAGGATATGCATGCGGTCCGAATTAGTGCTAATGCTGCTGTAACATTGTAGCCTCCAAGCCTCCTTCGATACAGATACCTCCTCCCATACCTTCTTGGCATCCGGCTGCTTCCCAGCGCGTGCAGAGAGCCAACTCAACACCTCTCAGCAGCTCGGGCACAGCTTTTACAGCAAGCGAACTGGCGCTTGACTGTCCCGGATTCAGGAAGCACCCCTACCATAGCTGAACAAGCCTGACATTTGTCGCACAGTGCAGCTTGGGATGCCGTCTGTCAAAAGTTGGACCCCCTGCTCGACATCCATCCCCCGGTTTTGTTGATAAGTGATGACGTGCTACACATCGGTGACCCTCGACGATCCTTGAGAGAACCCCCCTCTGTCTCGATCCCCTGGCCTCCTGAAAACCGGCGCGGCCAGCCAAGTGCAAGGCACTCCTTGCATCTGCATGGCCCCAAACTGAAGTAACAAACGTCTCTAGACCCCACATCCGAGGCCGGAATCCCGAAATCCTAATCATGCTTCTTCGGCTCCCACATGCTCTATCATCATTCCGAGGCTTGCAGTGGCTAGCAGGAATCACTTGGCCTTCGGAGCTTGAGACACCAACGACAGGTTCCTATAGGCTGGGAACAGAAGATGTTGAGCTTACTCCGCCGATCTCTGACTCTGAGGTTTGGCCAGTATAACGGGAGCCTTGATCAAAGAGCCACACGAAAGAGGCTGAGCTAGCATAGAGAGGATGTAGCTTTGAACCCAGGCTGGACCTGAACTTTGGGTGAGTTCATGTAGAACACCACTCACCAAAAGCTAAGTCACCGGCTGCCCCTTGCGATTCAGAGTGCTTACCTCCAGGGCTTCTACTGTCAGAGAGTGCGAGGCGGGATCGAGACAGGAAGGTAGGACGGGAAGTGGCAGCTGTGAGGAATGTTGAGCCTGCAAGGACAGCGAAAATTACATGCCACACGAGTTCCCGCCTTTATGCACAACACACTGGCTATAGAAAACATGTACGCATGTACAGAGGGGGAAACAAATATCTTTTTGCATATATAAGTATATATATATATGTATATGTATGTGTATATGTATATGTATATGCATATGCATATGCATATGTATATGTATATGTATATGTATATGTATATGTATGTATGTATATCTATGTATAGAGAGAAATGTCGGTTGCAAATTGGTCATACGACCTTGCATGGGGGGTGAGAGTTCCTGGCGTCGCAGGGCTAAGGTGTGTCGCACATCCTGATTACCTAGGCGTTAAAGTTCTGGTGCATTTTCAATCAAAACATGTATGTGTACTGGTGTATGTAGCGAGAGAGAAAGAGAAAGCGAGAGAGAGAGAGAGAGAGAGAGAGAGAGAGAGAAAGAGGGCGATTCATTTATATGTCCAGAAAGAAAATTAAAAGAAAAATGTTTATTTATACGCCTGCACCTTATGGCTACAGCCCCTGGCCGTGGAGGAAGGACCACAGTCGAAGCCTCCGCCTTCCGCTCGACAAGCAGTCGGCAGATCTCCCTGGCTGGCCTGGGACGGTTTTCTAGATCTCCAGGTATATAGATATATAGGTGTATAGATCTATAGATCTCAAGGCACAGATCTCAAAGTCTTCCTCCTCAGCGGCGTGTAGGATTAACGGTCTCGCCCTCGGACTCACCCAATTGAGGTTTCTGCTTGAAGCTCAGTTTGAATTTCTGAAAAGTTGCTTGAGCTCCTGTTCGGTCAGGGCTGCAACCAGGGTTTACGCTCTCACAACTCGGACAAGCCAGGCGAGGTTCATGGTGCGCAGTCGGCGTGACACAGGAAAGACAGTCCACAACAAAGAGCTCCAAGCCAGGACATAACCCAATCTAAGAACCAATCCACCACGTAACGAACATGGACTGGCTCAGCGCAACAGGTTTTACTGCCGCACGACTCTCAATAGCAGACCCTCAAAACAAAGAAAGAGCCCTGGTTTGGGGCTTTCGGCTCGCGCAACCTGGCAGAAGGTCCCTATTAGCTTGCTTGTTTCGAACCGGTGATGGGCCTGAGTGTACCATGGCAATCCTGCAAAGCCCTTCTGACGATTTTCGGACCGCTGCCAGCCGCTTCGGTTCAGTTCCCAGGAATTCTGCGGGGTGCAGCCGTAGATGCGCAACAGACCTTCGTCCTCAGCACCTTGATGCGGGAAGGCTTGGGCTTCGAAACAGCTTGGCAGCTGCCCATGAAATCCAATGCTATCGCAAGGGCATGAAAACAGAAATCCAGAGGAAGTACCGAATGCCTCCACGACGCTGTTGAAGCAAGCGAGTGCCTCAGGATGTGTTAATGCCTGCCTTGCGACTCGTAACCCACTGTATTCACGATGTCCATCTGTGCCACAAGGCGCCACACTTCAAGGATCAATGCATTTGGTGAATAAGCGATACACAGGATTTTAGGTACAGCAGCCTACAGGATTTTAGGTACAGCAGCCTACTTATCCATGTAATTGTATCTATACACCCAAATTCTATATCTATATATCCATATATCTTTACTTACATGAAAATAAATAAGTAAATAAATAAATAAATTATATATATATATCTCTCTCTCTCTCTCTCTCTTGCTTGCTCTCTCTCTCTCTCTCTCTCCCGGGCATAGGGGTCGGTCAAGACCCCCGGGCTTAAAGCCCACCCGCAAGTGTTTTGCAGACATAGGGGTGTCACGAGCGAACATAAGTCACTTGAAGGCTATTGTCGAACTCTTTACCTCTATGTCTCTCTCGAAACCCAACAGCCTCAATCCTTAAGAGTAATGTATAAGGAATCCCAGCTCTATTTGTCCTTAGTCCGGTTTCCAACTTTTGGGGGTTTACTATATCTATATCTATATATATATATACATACACAGTACCTGCTTATACCCAGCACTCCAAGATACTCGGTCCCAGGATCCCTCACCCCACCCCCTGTCACGCAGGCCAAGATTGTGCCAAGGCTCGGCAACTGTCACAGCCCGCCAGCCTTGTGCTTCGCAGAAACCCTCCGAGACGGGCAAGTTGGAAAGGCACTTGAGCAGGGCCTTCATGACCTGGCTACAAGCTCTGGGGAGACAGGGGGGTGGCTCTAGGATGCTTTGACAACATGCAACCGCACCGAAAATCCTTCCGAGATTCCGCCGCTTCTTCCCTGCTCTGCGCAGACTTTCCAGGCAGCGAAGGTGGGAGCATGAGGATGGTCGAAGCCTGCAGTTTCGAAAGAGGGATTTCACTTGGTCCCAAAGAGTTTGAGTTAGCTCAGAATGGCCTCACGTTCCCGCAACAGCACGTGCGACAGAAACTCCTCTTCACTGGAAGCCGAACAGGGCAGCCACCTGTCGCAGACACGATCGCGAAACTCAGTACGGCCCCCTTTTTGGCAATGCCTGATGGGGCCTCCTCCTATGTGCTGCTCCCATGCTTACCCGTGCTCGCGCACCACCGTGGTTAGATGGCACGTGCAGCAATGCTGACGGCCTGATGCCGTTGCGCCCATCACGGTCCCGCCGTCCCGGTTGACGACCGCAACTGTAGATAGCATCGGCCGGCAGACCTGCTGCACCAATGTGATCGGCAATGCCAAGCGGCGGCTGCAAGGAGCATAGCACGACTCTGGGGAAGGGTTTCCACAACCCAGCTCCATGTGTCTCCAAGAACTCTGCGAGACAGCTGTGCTCAGGTCGCCGACGTCTTCTCCGAGACAAGGACAAGCCTTGTCTTCGATGAGTTGACAAGTCACTTGCACCAAGGGGATCGGAAACCATTGCCCGCCGAATCCTCTGCTTTGCGAGGTGTGCCGACAGCCAGATGTCGTTATGGTCGCCGCAAGCGGAGCTTCGACTGGGCTGCCTTAAGCCATCCAGCATTTGCCTCTGCAGCAGAAGCCCAAGGAAGTGGCAGAGGATGGGCCCTGCGGGCCCTTCTTCGGCGCTTCTTCGCAAATTCCGAGCCAAGGCCGGGCCAGCCACCTGAGAGGCCTTGCCAAAGTCTCTGTCACTCAAAGCCAGCCAGCCATGGGCACCGACGGCGGCACCGGGAGTTCCCGCAGCAAAGCGGAGTAGGTTCGTTATGAGTTCTGGGTGATAGCTGTGGTCATCATCCACGGCAAGAATCCAGGCGCTCGGGTCTCGAACCAGCTTCGCAGCTGCAAGCAAGCCAGTTCCGGGTCCGAAATCCTTGCACCGAAGAACCTTCAATCGCCTCCACCGCCGCTTCAGAAGTACCAGCCATGGCGGAAGAGCAGCCGGATACCTCACAAGCTTCTTCAGTGGAAACCCCCCAACGTGTCTGGAGTTCTAGCCCTGTCCAATGTAAAGGCAGTGGCACAGACAAGTCCGTCTTCAAAGTCTGCCGAGGTGCGCGGCCGCGCCGCCACCTCGTCGCCACAGACCCCGCGGGACAGCTAGGAGCACTTGCATGGGAGCCTGTTGCTTCAAGAGCGACATGAGGCACGACTTCAGCTCACGGCCGGATCGCAACCTTGGCGTCAGAACCAAAGCCAAACTATTTGTCGCATTTGGTGGGCTGTGACACAAAGCAAGCAGGTGAGCTAAGATGAATCAAGCCATGAGTCCGCGAGGGTGTGGTGGACAGGGCAGCATAGACCTCTAGCTTTTTGCCCGATGCTATGCCCATGAGTCGCCATCCAGGTGATGCCGCTGTCGTAATGCCAGCCCTTAATGCAGAATACAAGAGTTCTGAAACGTGCGCTTCCATGGCTTCGAACCGGAGTCACTACCGCAACCTTGTTGCGGAATGGTTGGGAGGCCACCGGCCCGCGGATGCAGCGTTCCTGTCGCAGCGTTCATCCCTTCTTCGGGTGTACTTATGTGGTATCTTTTGCTATGAATATTATATATACATTAATATATAATTACTCTATATATACAATATTATCTATAATGTTATTTGTAATATTGCATAATATCATATAGTATTATATAAAATATTACATGTAACCGAAAGCTCGGGTCGGCCTGACAAGAGGGGCAGCCAATCCAGGACTTCTCTGCCCATGCCTGTAGGCCATGGCTCGGGGAGGCGCCCTCTCCACCATGGTTTCCCAATCTTTCCAGGGTCTATAGGGTTTAGGGTTTAGGGTTTAGGGAAAGATCCTCTTTGGGACAGCTGACGTTAGCACATGGTCTCGGCTGGGGGACCTTGTGTATGCGACATAGTTTTGCCGAAGGCGCCGAAGTTAGCACAAAGGGTCTCGTCTGTGCGCAACCTTCTGCGCGACACAGCTATGTCCTATCTGGAAGGAACACCCGTGCCGGTGTGCGAATGTTTGGGGGGTCCTTGGGATCTGAGGGGCAACAATACAACATGATTCAGCCTGGTGCCAACCACAAGGAAAAACGGCTGTGGTCCCAATGTAGAAGCTTCCTCTTCAGCCCGCCGCAATGTCTTTGCGCGTGAAGGAACAACGACAAAAAACAATCATCACTGCACCACGAACGAACCATTCAAAAGGCTGACCATGAAGACAAAATCGGCTCGACTCTTCGTGTAAGCAAAAAGACATGGAGGGAAAACCAAGACTCTCTCTCTCTCTCGTGTGGACTCAGAGGTCTGCGACAAACTCTAAAGACGTGCCGTGACGAGTTGCAGTCCTGCAAGACCTAGGATCTGACTTGATCTGACTTGGCCGACTTGATGCCCAAAACCCCCCTCCACACCAAAGACTCTGCAGAACCACGCACATCTTCCATCGCTAGCTGCAGCTGCGCCTTCTCACATGAACCAATGGCTGCACTGCACACCACGGTATTCAGCTGAAGGCTGCGACGGGCAAGAAGAGTGAGAAGGAGGAGGCCACGCTGCCAGCAGAAAGCTCGCTCGCAGGCAGACACGGCCGCGCCCAGGGAAACAATATCCTCAGTTTGCAGCCGAAAGACCTACCTGGGGCCTGGGCCTAGCCTCTGAATCGATGTCCAAAAACCCGCGATCACCCACCTGTCACATCGGCATTCAACACCAAGAGCACCCCTTTCTTGCACTATAGATACGATTCAGAACATATGGCATGGCATACAGCTGATAGTATGTACCATGAACACAAAAACCTGACCAACATCCCCTAAACAACCCGAAACCCCTTGTGTACCGAGGTGTAGAAACCCTAAACCTCAGAATGCAATGCAAAAGGCTGCGGGTCTGCACTGGAGAAACCTGGAAGCCGCCGAAGCCGCGAGGCTCCAGGCGCCCGCCTTGCCTAAGGCGCCTGAGGGTCTCGAAGGGGGTTCCTTTAAAAGGGTTCCTTTAAGAGTACTATGGGGCTCCTTTAAGGGGGTTCCGTAGGAACCTTAAAGGAAAATGGGGCGCAGCAAGTAGGTTACAAGCAAGGCTCTAGCTAGAGCCTTCGGTACTTCTGGCCCCACATGTAACCGGCAGACTTACAAAGTCCAACATTCCTTTAACTCTTGAAGCAAGACATGGGAAGTCTCTACACTCTGAGCAAGTGGCTTATGATGGTGTTGTCGGATGCTGCGTCCGTTTGCAGCATGACAGGTGCAAATCGGTGTAGGAGGGAAAGGGCATCGGTCCAACGCATGTCCCCTTCCATGGAGTCCAAAGCTGTGTTGAGCGTGATGATCTCTATCCTTAGCTCCCGCACTGAGAAACCGTGATCCGATGTGCGAGGCTCAAGCAATCCCATCAGCCATCCTGCAATCGCTGTTGGCTCTTTACTGAGGACCCGTCTGCAGGGTCCTCTGGCGCGACAAATTGAAATGCTGCACGGCCAATCCCCAATCTCCAGAGGCCTTGATCACTGTCCCGGAGCTGACGACGTCTAATTCAAGACCGTGTCCTAGGGCGGTGTACCAAAATGCCAGCGCAAGCCTCCAAAGCTGAGCTTGGCCGCAACAATTGAGGACTGCGTTCTGTGCCACTGTGCTCACTCGGAGTGCACGTAGCCGCAGCTCGGATAGTAAGTGAGTGGATTGTGTCCATCTTTGATCTTTGCCGCATGCAGCTGTGGCCGCTCCGAACACGATCGTGTTTGCTTCGATGAGGGAGTGCCGTAGATTTTGCAGGAGCTGAGACGCACGAACCCAGCTTGCTGCACATGCATGCACGGCGGACCCATAGATGGCCAAGTTATCTTGCAAGCTGTCCTGCCTTGCCGCACCAAGGGCATTCATGGCCCAGTGCCATTGACCACTCTCAGCGAGTCCATTGGTGACGACATTGACCGTCACAGGCGTGAGCTTTAATCCGACGCGCTGAAACGCCATTAACTGGTTGGCCATGGCCTGCCAACGTGCGTCTCGTCCACGCGCCACGTTCAGTAGCGAGTTGCAGGTGATGACGTCCACTTGAAGGTATTGCCAGGCCATGGCAGCAACTCCTTGCAGGCCAATCTTCCACTCACTCGTCGCCGCAGACAGCGAAGAGCTGTACATTATCACATCAGCTCGCAGTGAAGGGTGCCGTAGCTGCAGAATGCCCAGGGCTTGCATCCACTTCCTACAACCACAGCAGGCCGTGAGACTTTCCGTGCAAGTGACCTTCGAGGTCTGCAGGGACCTTCCGCGAAGGTCACTTGTCTCAAGGAATGCTCGCCGCCAGTCCAAGGCTTTGCTCTGGCCATGAATCACCGTGTTCCAAGTTGTTGTGTCTGGTTGGAGCTCCACAGCAGACATCAACACCAAGGCTCTCTGCCACTGAGAGCTCCTGGCAGGGGCTAGCAGCAAGCAGCTGGCAGCGTCTAAGTTTGGGATTTCCTGCCAAGGTGAAACTGGCTGAAACCAAGCCGCTCAGGATGCTGGCGTTTGACTGTGTTCAGTCCTTGAGCATGCTGCCAGAACTGTCGTGACTGCGATGATGTCCACCTCGATAAGCTCGCCCCGCATGAGCTCCAGCACAACGCACGCACAGCGCCATCTTTCCGTTCTCGCACACAGCCGAAGCGCTGCATTCAGAGCAAATTTGTCTAAACGAAGGAGAGAAGAGACGTCTGCTGGCAAGTCCATGCTTGTTGTCTGCAAGCTGGCAGGGTGTCAGCGATGCCTCATTTCGAGGCTCCATTGCACCTCCCTGACTCTGCTAACCGCTCTTGGGGCATGAGCCGCCATGCTCCGCCACTGCCCCGGCTTCAGCCATGGCTGTCGACGAGGCGGGCAGAACTGTATCGGTGAATCTAACGACGGAGACAGGAGCAGTATGAGCATGTCAACATGCTGCGATGTGCTGTGCGGCTGCGCGGGCATGTTCCAGATGGGTCGCCTTTAGCTTGTTTTGCTTGCTTCCATGCCCTGTTCGCAGTGCGAGGGCTGCAGTGAAACGGTGAAACGCTCCCCTGTTTTGAGAGAGGCTTCGGCCCTTGCCAAATCTGCACACTTCGTTGATGCCATCGCCGCGCTGGTGCCGCTAGTAGTGTTGTCCTTCCACCTTAGAGGTTAGGGGCATTGCCTGCAGAAACGAATGCCAGGTGCAGCCTACAGCTAACAACCTGTATGACTCAGGTAAGCAGCGAAATGAGCAGGGACCCAGTTGTCGACGGGGCTGGGAAAGCTGCCCACATGCCTTACGGATCTCAACAAGGGCCGGCTGAAGCTACACATGCCACGACATAGCTTTGTGGCTAAGGGTTGGTGAAGGCCTCCGGCCACGCAGGCATGGCAACACAACAGAAGGCAACATTCCTCTGCCCCATAGCATGGCAATCCCTCAATAGGTCTTCATACCCTGTCTCGCTGTGCCAAAACCCTGCGTCGCACTTCTGGAACAGTGGCAGCACTGGCAACAGACCGACTTGCGGCTGGCTTGCCCGTACCACATACCAAAGCTGGTGCTGGCCTCAGTCTAGGTTCTGTCCATGAACTCGAACCTCGTCCGAGCAATGTACAGCGAACACACACCAAAGCATCAGAACACATGTCACAGAAAGAACTCGGGACTGCTGCAGCTGAAGACTTCTGTGTTGACTTCGTCGCAATGGCTGGCAACGAAGCCGACTTCCTGGGGCTCCAAGCGCTTCGTTTCCAAGCTCACAGCGAGAATCCAAGAGAATCCGGGAGAACCGAAAGAATCTCTCGTCCAAGGCACTCCAGGATGTGGCCGCCGTGGAAGGGGTTGAACCTGGGCCGAATGCAGCTGCAAGATATATGTAGCCGCAACCCAGTAACTAGCTGACGAGACTCTTCCGCGGGACGTGGCCGCAATAGTCCTGAAGGTGCTTTGGTCCAGGAAATCTCCGGTGAGCATCCTGAGCCAAGCTTCAGTGCAGAGGGGGCGAAACCTTTCAGTCAGAGGGGTCTCGAAAGCTGTGTAGGGTTTCTTGCTCAGTTGAATTCATGCTGTCGGTGGGTAGCCACTCCGGGGTTTTCAAACATCGGTCTGCTCGCGCACGAGGACATGATTACACAAGCGATGGCATTGCGCAGGATGCGGGCATATGGCGCGGTGGCGACATTGGCACGCAACGGCACACTGCGCGTGTTTGGCACATTGCGGCTCACTGCTCTTTGCCTATGGGGTGACATGTGCTCGGATTGTGACTTAGCCATGGATGGACATCTTCTCCCTTTACGCTCAGCGTGCAGCTGCGAAGCGAAGTCTCCACTCAAGTTGCGTGCCGCTTGGCGCCGGTAGTGGCTGATCCACAGATGGAGGCGTTCTAATCTGGGGCCGTCCCTTTCCAGCCTAAGAACCCACATGTCATCCCGCAGGCTTTACGCACCCCCGCCAGTTTCGTGGAACAATTCAGTTCATCCTGCCCACCAGCCACTTGTTCGATCTTGTTCGCGCGTGGCACGAGTGGCGTGCGTGGAGCGGACGGCTTTAATCCCCCCCCCCCCCCCCGCGCGGTCGGAATGTAAGAGCCTCAAAACATGCCAAAGGGACTCCAACATGCAGAAGAAGGAGCAAGTCGCTCGAAAGAGGGAGACTCCGACGCCAAGAGAACTTGTGAATGAGGAGCAAACCCATCGAAAAGGAATAGAAAAACAGGAAAAAATAGCAAAAAAATAGCAACCAGCTCGGACCAGAATTCGGAGAGCCCTCGCTCAAAAAGCCGTGAGAATTTGACAAGGAGTAGAAACTGACAAAGAGGAGCAAACAAGTCGAGCGGGACTGACTAGAACATCCAGAAGCAAGAGCAAAGTGCTGGAAAGAGGCGAAAATATTTGACGACGAGGAGGTTTAGAAAGCGTGCAAACCTGTCGAAATGGGCTAGAACAGCCAGAAACAGCAGCAGAAAACCAATTGAAAGAGACTAGAGCATGTGACAGAGAGGAGACTCTGATGAAGAGGAGCAAACCAGTCGAAAGGGGCTAGAACATCCAGAAGCAAGAGCAAACCGCTGTAAAGAGACTTGGACGTTAGGCAAAGGAGAGATTCGACAAAAAAACGCAAACCCATCGAAAGTGACCAGAAAATGCCGAAACACGAGCAAGCCGCTCGAAAGAGACTAAACATTTTGACAAAAAGAAAACACAATGAGTTGCAGACCAGTCGAAAGGAACTTGGCTAGAACAACATGCAGAACCAACAGCAAACCTCTCGAAAGCGACGGGAGAATCTGACAAAGAGGAGAATTTCAGCAACAGGAGCAAGCCCCCTTCGACCAGTTCACTCTGCGTTGTCAAATCATCCTAGTCTCTTTGGAGCAGTGTGTTGCGATTTTCCCAAAATCTGCTCTTTATCTAATCCTCTAGTCTCCTTCCAGCGGTTTGCTCCTGCTTCTGCGCGTTCTAGGGCTTGCTCAGCTTTCTCAAGTTCCCCTCTGAGTGGCATTCTGTGCGGTCTTTGCGAGGGTTTGCTCCTGTTTCTGGATGTTCCGGTGGTGCATTCCACCTTCTCAATTTCTCTTATTTGCCTCTTTCGAGCCGTTTGCTCCTATTTCTGGCAGTTCTAGGCCCTTTCACTGGTTTGCACCTCTTTCTGAATTTCTCCTCGGCGCCAAACTCTCTCGTCTCTTTCAAGCGGTTCGCTCCTGTTTCTGATTGTTCTGGTCATTTTCGATGGGCTTGCCCCTTTCTCAAAATCTTCTGCTTGTCAAATTAAGTGGTATCGTTTTCACAAGGCTTGCTCTTGTTTCTGGATGTTCTAGTCCTTTTCGACTGGATTGCCCCTCTTTCCCTCGTTCTCCTTTTTGTCCAATTCGCAAGTAACTTTCGAACTGTTTGCTCCTGTTTCTGGATGGTCTAGTCCCTTTTTGCCGGTTTGCACCTCCTACCTCAAATTTTCCTCTTTGTCAAACTCTCTACGCTCTTTCGAACGGCTGTTTCAGCCCCTTCGACTGGCTTGCACCCATGTACTAGCCCCTGTCGGCTGGTTTGCTCCTGTTTCTCAAAGACTTTTTCTTGCTCAGATTCTTTAGTCTCTTGGCTCACGCTCCACTTTCTCAAATTCTCCTCTTTGTCAGGTTTTCTGGTCTGCTAAATATACAAATTATTTGCTCCTGTTTCTGAGTTCTAGTCCCTTTCGACTGGTTTGCTCCAGTTCCGCAAGTGTTCTCTTGCATCTGGTTCTGCACTGTTTTTTTCGCAAGGTTTGCTCATGTTTCTGGATGTTCTGGAGCCTGGTCGCCCTCGACTGGTGTGCTCCCCGTTTTCAATCTGTCACATTCCCTAGTCTCGTTTGAGCGGTTTGCCTCGTTGTCAAGTTCTCTGGTCTCTTTCGAGCAGTTTGCTCCTTTTTCTGGCAATTCCAATAAAATCTTCTCTTGGTAAAAATTATCTATTCTGTTTAGAGCGGTCTGCTCCTTCGGGATGTTCTGGTCTCTTTCGACGGCAAGTTTGCTCCTTTTTTCTCAAGTTCTCCTCTGCATCAGATCTGCTAGTCTCTTTTCGAGCTGTTTGCCCATGTTTCTGGTTGTTCTAGGCTCTTTCGACTGGTTTGGTGCTCTTTCTCAAACCTCTCCTCTCTCAAATTCTCTCTCGTCTGTTTGGAGCGGTTTGCAGTCCCTTTCGACAGGTTTTCTCCTGAGTCAGAAAAATTGTCCTTTTTGTCCAGTCCTCTCATCTCCGGGAAAGTCAATGCCAGCGTTTTCCACACTTGTGTCCCCTTTTCGTCGCTTGTCTCCCCTAGTTTGTCGTAGCAAGTGCTTGCTATTTGCCCAGACTGTTAAGATGGTATCGAACCTCGGTGTTTTGTGGTGTGGGGGGGTGTGAAGTCGTTTGGTTTCACCTCTTTGGGGCTTGCGGCGGTGCAGTGTAGTCCGTCTTCGGCGACATCGATGACAAGCGGTGTGGATGCTGAGATGCTGATGATGGCGACGGTATCAGAGTGCCCCCTCAGACGCGCCTGAAGTGGCTTGGGCGACTTCTTCTTTGTCCAGGTCAGGTCGGGGAAGGAGGACGAGCAGCGCATAGCCTTGGTTCTGGATCTGTGGAGTGGTTCCACGAGATGGCGACCGCTGCTTCTACTACGGCCTCAACCACACTGGAGTGGGCAGAGATGTCACGCATCTCACTAAACTGCTGAAGTCCATGCAGGTTGTGCGTTTGCAAGGCGGGCTGACCCTCAGTCGGAGGAAGTCAGCTCAGGTTCCAAGCGCACAGCGTCTTGCTGCTGCACACTGATCTCTAACCATGAAGCCCCAGAGAAGCACCACAGTTGAAGCAAAGTCTTGAAACGCGCTCCGGCGTCTGGTCCCCACACGGCGAGCCCAACTCAATCTGCACGCCCCACACCCCACCCCCATGCTTCAAGCAAGTCACGCACTCATCCTGCCGCTGCATCCGCTGCAGCGTTCGCGCAGGGAATGTCCTCGTCAAGCCCCAAAGTTGCTCAAAAAGGACCGTGGATCTTGGCTGTTGCAGCTGTGCCGGTGCACCCCAGGTTGAAGGTCCCAAGGATTTCCAGGATTCAACGCACAACTCGAGGTCCGAGGCTTCGAACATTCCCCTCGGCCCTTAAAGCTTCCTGAAGCTCGAGCAACTCCAGCCTTTCAGAGGAGCCAACAAGAACCCCTGCCCTTGTGTAGCTTTGCTCATTCGCTCCTTCTGGGGAGGGTTTACGCTCTCGCAACTCGGAGGAGGGTTTAGGCATGTTTAGGCTTCAGAATCCCTTGAACCAGAACAACGCCCCTGTCTGTGCGAGTTGCGGCGGAGGCGAGGCCATGGCGCTGCGAGGGAGACCTCCCGCGAGGACGAGACACGGAATGCTCGCAGCCAAAGTATCGAGCTGACGTTGACAGAAAGGGGATTTAATTTAAGTTACCATAATGGGGATCTATAGTAGATAATATGGCTTCCTTACTATGAACTAGAAAGCAAGAGTGCCTTTGGCTGTTGTTTGGTACTCTTGCCATCTTTTCCCGTGCCTGGTGCACCCAGGTGAGCCGCGGGGCACGGAGAGCTGCGGGCCGGGAGGGGTAGCGAACTTGAGCCGAAGGATACCCAGGGATTTCAGGCACACAAAAAGCAACTCAGGAGAACGACGAATCTGTGCACCTTGCGCGAAAAAGAGAGGTGTTTGGCCGTGTCGGTCGGTAGCATCAACCTGCAGTTTGTCGAGAGGCCACAGCATGCAGAACCGTCTTCCCCGATCCAGTCCTACGGCACAAAGTTGAGGTGGCAGAAGCTGAGAACAACACATCTGCCCTCGCAGATAGAAGTACCTTGCAAAGCTCTGCATTCCTCAGCTGAAAATGTGCATGGCGGCTTAGGGCTTAGGGCACAGGAAACTGGTTCGGGCTCCTTCCGACAACGGCTGGGCGTCTCAGGCTCCATCCCGTCAAAAGCGGCAATGTGGAGAGCAGTGACCTGCTTCCAGGCGTCGCTGCGACAGCCATCGCCCGAACATCTACGAAGAAACACACAAAGTAGCAAACTGCATTGGCTACAGAAGGCCTTCACAGCTTATACAAGGTACCGCAGTACAATAAGACTTTGAAGTAATGGGCAGAAGCTGGACATCTGGGAGCTAGCGCGGCCTCCAGCGGAACACTCTCTGAGGCGCCAGCGCCTTTGGCATCTGAGTCATTAACGTTGGCCTTTGCTCTGAGCAAAAGCCGTGCCTGCGGCCAAGACGAACTGCAAAGCACACCCCTTTGGGTGAGACCAGGAGGTGCTGGCAGGCAAAGTGCTTGGGAATTCCGACTCTTGAGTTTGTCATGTGGAAAAAAAACCAAGGATCTGACGGGTCGGGTCTAAAACTCCCACGCCGACCATGTCAGAGACCGAGTGGTGGACCAGGTCAGGGCGGCCCGCGCGCGCCACGGCAGACACGGGTCCACCAGACCTGTCGCTCGAAGCTCCA